GGGGGAGGGGGGGGGAGTTTGTGGGGGGGGCCCGGGGTAAGGGAGCGCATACTGCTGGAGTAGTGGCTGAGGAAGTACGGTTTTTTCTTCTCGTCAATCGTCTGGGCTTCGTCGTGCCCCTCCCCTCGCCTCCCTCCCAAGCTGATTGTTTGCATTTTGCACAGTTTTACTTCCCCTCTGCATCCCCTTTCCCTCCCCCCTTTGGTCAGTTCTACTCCTGGTACACTCTTTTGCCCTGGCAGCAGCTTCACTCGTTTGTGGTTCGTCTTTTCCCCCTCCTACCGCTCCACGCAGACTCCCTGCCCCCCGCGCTGCGTATTCTGCTGCTAGACAACAACCTCTTGAGCGGCAGCCTGTCCCCCACCCTCCCCACCAACCTCATATACCTGAACTGCGCGGGCAATCAGCTGTCCGGGCCGCTGCTGTCTGGGGCGGCGATGTGGCCGGCCAGCATCATGTTGCTGGACCTGTCCATTAACAGATTCTCAGGTGGGATTGGAGGTTGGAGGTTAGAAGAGTTGGGGGTTAGGAAGGGCGAGTTTGTGAACCAGGATTTCATGTCTGTTTGGTATGGAGGCTGGCGGTTGGTGGTTAAGAGGTTGGGTCGGTTGAGTAGGTGGCTGTCGTCTGCGATGTGCCGCCACAGCAGCAGCAATAGCAGCGATTTTTGGTTTTTGCGTATCTCCTATTAGTTTATTTATTCCCTTCTTCCCTCCTTCTCCCTGGCTCTTTCCCTTTCCCTCTCCATCTCGCTCACTCCCCCGCCTTCCCCGCCCACTCTTTCCATCGACTGCCACTGTTCTTGCATCTCACCGTAACTTGGGTTCTTCACACACACATACATACATGCATACATGCCTTCGGAGCCACCGTGCCACATACATACATACATACATACATACATACATACATACATACATACATACATACATACATACATACATACATACATACATACATACATACATACATACACACATACATACATACATACATACATCTTTCCCTCCGCGCCCCATCCCCCTTCCAGGCTCCCTCCCCGCCGCCCTGGCTCGCCTGCCGAACCTGACACTGCTCAACCTGTCAGGCAACCAGCTAACAGGCAGTGTGGAGCCCTTTCTGGACCAACTGTCAATCAATAATACTCTACTGGTGAGGTTCGATGTGGGGTGTGGGTACGACGAAGCACAGACACTTGACAATTGACGAAAAGGAAATACCATAGATGGATACTACTCCAAGGCTAGACAAATGATGTCGGAGAAAATGTAAGCTGTTGGTGCGTATAAGAGTTACAAGTGCCGTACTAGTGCGGGGGGTTCCGTCAAAGCCGGGAGGCCATGGACTATGTAAGAAGGCGGGGTTGAGAGATGGGGGGAAGGAAAAGGAAGCTTTGGGGGCCTGAAGGGGAGGAGAAGGGCGAGGGGCAATGTGTGTGCAAACCAGTGCTTTGGGGCAGCTGTGCCGAGGATTCGTGGACGCGTCCTCTCACCCGTGTTTCTGTTCAAGTCGCGGTCAACTTCCTCCATTTTTCGTTCCTCAGGTGTCCTTTCTTGACCCTTTTTCCGCACCTCCCGCTGGCGCACGCCGCCGTGAAAAATAACGTTCCTTCCGCGGCTTGCACCCTCAGTATCTGGACTTGAGTTTCAACTTGTTTTCCGGCACACTTCCCGCCTCTCTGGATCGGCTGGCGGTGTTTGACTCGAACAAATTCCGCACCATATCCCGACGACTGGATATCAGGTGCTTGTGTGCTGCATGCTGTGTGCTAGTGTGTGCTAGTGTGTGCTAGTGTGTGCTAGTGTGTGCTAGTGTGTGCTAGTGTGTGCTAGTGTGTGTTGATATTTAGACACGTGTGCTGCCCACTGCTGCCAAACTAAGGCACTTGGTAAAGCAGCACAGCAGCGGATAAAGGGGATTGTAAAAGAGAAAAGGAACGAACGCATAGTTACAGTACCCGGTCACACGTACAGGGCAGGCCACTGGGAGGCGGTAAGCTCCCCCCGCCTTAAAGAAGGGAGTGATTCGAAGTGCACTAATGCACGTGTGTGTGTGTCTGTCTGTCTGTCTGTCTGTCTCCCGGCCCCCGGGGGCCCCACCCGCGCTTCTTGCATATTTTCCTGACTCCTTTCCCTACCACTCACTGGAGCCCCCTCTGCCCGCCTTCCCGCCGCTCTGCCTCTGCCGCGATGTACCCGGCATCGCAGCTATAACAGGTTCAAGGGTGTCGTACCTAGTGTCATGTACGAGGTACGGCAGACATGGCAGTACGCAGTATGAGTTTTTAGGTAGTTAGGGGTTTATGCGACGGCCTTCGGGAGCCGTGTCGTTGGATGCCGTGTGTGTGGGGGGGGGGGTCTGTGGGGGGTGTGTGGGGGGTGTGTGTGTGGGGGGGGTGAGGTGTGTGTGTGTGCGCTGGTGGGGTGGGGGGGTGGGGTGGGGGCGGGGTGGGGGTTGGGTGGGTGGGGGGGGAGTGGGGTGCGCTGGTGCGGCATCAGCAGCCAACAGCAGCCCGCTTCGAGCACCCAGACTTCCCCCGGAGGTTGTAACCCAACCGAACTGCCGGCACCCCACTCCCGGAGCCGCCCGGCTCGAAAGCCACTTATGCATGGAGTTTTCAAATGATGTGTAATATTAGCTCGCTTGTGCCGCACAGTGTGTTGTGTCATGCAGGGCTTTCCCTCCACAGTCCCCCTCCCCTCTGTGCCCCACCAAACCCCTCCGCCTCCGCCTCGTCCTTCCCCTCCGTCTCCTCCACCTCCATCTCCGCTTTCCAAAACCCCTCTTGACTTGCTGCCCCACTCCTTTTTCCCCACTCCTTCCGCTCCCTCGCTGACGCCGTTCTTGGCTTTGCATGTATTCCCCCCTCCCTCCCCCCTCCCTCCCCCCTCCCTCCCGACCTGATCTGATCCCTCAGGCACTGCCCTGGTCACCAAAGCC